CCCCCCACACACACACACAAAATGACACCGTATAATATCTTACAACATCTGCAGACTTGCTCAGGTGTTTGGGTGCGACCATCTCCTTGGCAACAGATGACTCTCCACCCCTCAGTCTGACGGACAGGTTTCTGTAGATGCGTTTGGGCGAGACGGGGCCGAGAGAGCGCCGGCGCTGGAGCGGGTTGTTCATGGACACTGACATGGCCGGAGAGGAGAGCGAGAACAGGGAGACAGGTAGCTGAGGAGAAGGAAGACAGAAGAATAAATAGTGAGGGATAGATCAGTTGATGGAGGGTAAGATTAGGACCATACCAACCTAGGAGCCATAGAGAGAGAGGGATGAGAAAAGTGGCATTTGAAACATATAACAAAAAATGACAACATGGGGGAGAAAGAGGAGACTGTGAGAGAAGGTGAAAGTCATCAGAAACCTGGAGGAGTGCTTGGCGGGGAATGAATTGAGAAAGCAGAATATACAGTCAGGCTCACACAGATTCCTCGTTGAGGCTGAGCTGAGTGGTGCTGCTGTGTAGGTGGATACATGGATAAAAGTTACAATGCCCGAACACAGCAGATGAAAAAAATGCCTCGCAGCATTTGTCTTTGTGCCTCTCACGATTCTCCCTTTTGTTCCCTCTGTTACTCTCTATTATGCGACACGGGTTTTATTCGCTCTGAGTGGAGTCTCTCGGCGCACAAAGCAACCGACCCATCAATCCAATTAACTGAGGAAAAGCAATCTCATGTCGGGGAGCCAAAAATGTTCTCTCCTCATAATAAATATGAATCTCCTCGTAGCATCAGCTTGAAGATAAAAAACCATCATTGTCACCGCAGTAATGATGGATCATTATCAAATCCATCGCGCTTTCATCGTTACAATCAGTCACTTTTGAGCCTGAAATTCTGTCTTGTGTTCCCCCCCCCCTCAACCCTTGGAGCAAATGCAGAATGCATACCCCCCCCCCTCCTCTCATCTTCAATCATCACGTCTTTCTTACATTTGTCACTGTCTTTCTCCTCATCTGCTTTCTCTCATCTCTCTTTTTTTGCAGTTTGGTGGTGGGACGTTCCCGCCTGTTCAGTTTACATCATGCCCCGAGCAGGCAGATCTGAGGAGCATCTTTGGATAAAGGGGAGATATTCAAACTCTATCCTCTCTGTCATCTCTCCTCACCACTTTCCCATCCAAAAAGAAAGACTCAAATTTCAGAGTTTTTTTGGGGGGTTTAACCTCCGTCAAGGCAAGTCCTGGTGTGCTGAGTAGTCCACTGTCCTTGTGTGAAAGCGAATACTCCCCCGAGGACAGAATCTGAGGGCTCTGGCCCCAATGACGCCACATGTCTCAGTGACACATTGCCATTGTACCTGCTACCTCACTGTGGGGCCCACCGGTGTGTACAGTACCCGCACTGCCTGCATGTGGGGATGCTGGCGTATTGTATACGGCTAATACCAGTCACTGTTATTGGTACAGTTTCCCCCTGTTTGTTTGTTGTGTCTTGTGGAAAGTGCTGATGGAGCAGTTGAGAGAGGAGATAAGCTTTAGTGTTTGCCTTCGTTTTTGTTGTTTTGGGGCAGCACAAAGATAAGACCAGGCAAAAACACCTGGGAGGAGAAGACGAATGCGTAACTTAAAGCAAACATATGCTGAGTCGTGAACACACACACATAGCCACACACAAACACACACGACAGATTCATTGTGGCTTTGTTGCATGCTAGTATCTCGGGTTGTGGTGATGTTGTTTTTTTTTTAATTTTCACTAAGGGTAAAGTATGCTGTGTGTTTGCAAACAGGCTTTCTGTTCCTGTCAAGTTGAGCATGGAAACATCTGATGACTAATATTTATAATCCCACAGGAAGTAATGCAGTATTCATTCGTGCAAATAAACCACAGAGGACATCAACCTTCAAGGGTGATCACACAGCATCTAACTTTGTTTCCAAGAATGCATTTTGTGTACATTAATTTATGTGTCCTATAGATTATTCAGGGACACACATTGCAACAGGCAAAATGAAGTCAGCATAAGAAGCCAGTTACAGATTATGATAGTTGAAAAAAAGCCACAGCAGAGCAGTAGGCAGTGAATGTTTCAGCATACCAGATTAATGACAGCCTAAATCATCATAAAAAGTTACTTTACATTTAATTAAAGTTACAACAAAACTATAAAAGACCAAGAAGCGTATATAAACGAGATTTTGTTTTTGTAAACCTAGAAGAGTAATAGCATACAGATAATATGGAGTATAGCTACTAGCTATCTACTAGACTGAAAAAAGCCATGTGGAAAAACAACATAAATCCATAGTTAATCATATGGCGCAGAATGGAGCAATCAATTTGCATAACAGGATAAAATAGTTGCGTTTTCGTTTCTTACCGTAAGACGTTACTCTCTCTTTAATTGGCCCTTTTCTCCAGCGCTGCCCCGGTGCGTCTACATGTTTTTAATGAAATAACTGTCTGTTAGTCAGATATAATCCATCGTACCGACTTCAGGAGTTTTCACCTCTGAGGGTGAAGCGCACCTGAACGTTGCACCCGAGAGACTGCAGCCTCTCCTGCACACACACACACACACACACACACAGACACGCACGCGCGTCTTCTTTGTCCCGCCCTCTTCCTACTTTTATCTCATTCGTTTCTCAGAACAAAACTTATTTTTAAATATCTTAAAAAGCGCTGCCTCTTAGTGTGGTATTTTCAGACTATTTGGGGTTAATTTGGGGTTATGGTTTACATATTTGGTATGTCCTTTTTAAAATGCATGATATCTAGACCCTCTAGTTAGAGACTAAGTGGTGTAATTGTTGTATTAATAGTGAATGCAGGACTATCTATTGTCTGGGCAGTGAAGCAGCACCCAGTCCTCCAATATTTTGTCTCTAATGCCGTTAAATATATAGCCTACAGTATTACCACAGTGATACAGTAACAACAGCTGCCATTGTTACCTTTGCTGTGGCTGCTGCCTGACCTGTAAATGTCGTCACTGGAAACAGTACCATAATGGCAGCACTGAGTGATGGTGTGACACAGTGTGGGTTGGTGACTGGAAAAAAAAAGGTATCGGGCTATATAGGGTAGCTCAACGCCCCCAATGATGGCTGCTGTATGTGTCTCTTAATATATTACTGCGTGGTTGTTTTACACTACTGATCTTTATATGTATGTGTGTGTGTGTGTGTGTGTGTGTGTGTGTGTGTGTGTGTGTGTGTGGAGGGGTTATACACAGGAAGTGGTTCAAGATATGTCAAGTGAAATGTGATGAGAAAAGCAAAGGCCCCGCAGTGATGAGGCAGATGCTTGCATGTTAGGACTCCACTTATTCTTGGGCCGAAGCTAAATCCATTTGTCTCTGTATTTTATTGGCCCCCCGAAGAATTCTCTTATGTGAAAAGTTGTCAAATAAAGTTGACCGATATGCATCGGCTTCCACCTGAATAGTGAGAGAGGCACTTTGTCTCTTTCTCTGCCCCCCCCCCCCCCCCCCACCCCCCCACCTCAGGGGCCAATACGTCTCTGAGACTGATGGATTTAGCTCCTGTCCAAGCACAAATGGAGACTTTGGAAACTTTCCACCTGCTTGTCAGAGGTCTGCTACTCTTTTCAGTTAGCCAAACAAGTCTTTGACCACTTCCTGCACACACGTATTGCACACTGAGACACTTTGAAGGATTAGCCCGAGTGCATGAGAGCACACACTCTTGCACACTGTCACAAAGAAGCTCACACTCATGAGGCAGAGCTGAGCTGGCTTCACTGTCAAGCACTACTTTGATGTGCAGTGAACTCTGTTTGAGGAGAAGCAGAGAGAGATTAGAAATTGACGTTGGTAGTGGCTGATACTCGCCCCCACACTCCCATCATCAGATAGTTGCCGTGAGGCTTTTGTTGTCATGGCGATAACCAAATTGTGGCCTTCACTGCTAAGTGATACTGCAGAACGGTCTCATGCATCCCACTATATATATCCCCAGCATATTATTCAGCAATGACATTCCTTGGAGGCTAAATTGATGCTGATGCATCATTTTGAAGATAGTTTTTGTCTCTTGCTCAAATATATGATATGAGCCTACACCCTTGAACTTCAGAGGCTTTTGTTACACTTACACGTTTAATAGCACTACTGTATAAACGGTGGTGGACCAACAAACCATTGAGAAGAAACCTGGAACCTAAATTCAGGCAATTTAGGTAAAATATATATATATATATATAAATGTGATAACATGGCAAATGCAGTATTTTGCCATCAGTCATAATTATTGAGATTACTTCTATCTGAATCAATCAAGTGTGGAGAGCCAAGACATTTGATGAAATGTCATAGATTCAATTTAAATACTTTCACTGTATTCTAACTTGTATTAGCAATTCCTTATTGACTGGAAATGATGGTGTAATAGCTTGTAATAATTATCTACAATTGTTCACCACTGGACTTTGTTATTTCAGTGTTATTCTATAAGAATCAGGACATTTGTGTTGTTAATTTTCTTATTTTACCCATTCCTTTACATTTGACTGAGTTGACCTCACTTCTTGCCCTCACAAAGAACAAAAAGCAAATGCAGGAAGTAGAAAGACTTTGAATACTTTGTGTACAAAATGCTATCAGTAATAATACTTGTGTATTCGTGCCATTATATTAGTTTTTGTACTTACATTGTAGTATATTGTTTAATACAGTTTTCGAAAAAAACTGTTCCGAATTTAAGTCGATGTCAAAATATCTCACCGTGTTATTAACTGGTTATTGAGTTTCGGAAATTTCAACTGGGAAAATTCCGACCTCCGAGGTTGTCTGGAACGCACCATGAGCACGCGACCTGACCACGAGGCTTGATGAAACGTGGTGACATTTACCTCGATCTGCTACATAACTTTTTAGTTAATGGTTGGTTTACCGAATTACATACATGTAGTTGTTGTGGTAGCTTTGTCAATACTTAGACTACGTTTTCTTTTCAAAAGTTTTCCTTAAAAGTACCCAAGTTTTGTTTTTGAGGAGCATGACGCAAGTTGCTAATTCGCTAACGTTAGCTTAATGTTGTAGTTAGCTTTAATTAGTCGAGCTGTGTAGCTAGGGTAGCTAGCTTTTCATTCACCTCCCCGACTTTGCAAAAATGATTTGAGACGCCATAGGCTGCATTTTCTGTTTCAACAGGTGGAACGACCAAAACAAATGTCAAGTACTGATATTGTTTTTGACAAGATCCACTTCAGGCATGACCCGAAATGGAGCGGCCGCCTGGGGCCTGCAGAGGGGGGCGGGCTGCTGCTCTGTGTGGCCTGCGTCATTGAAATGATGGAAAGTGAAGATATAGCGGTGAGGAGTATTAGCTTGTTTTATTTTATTTGAAAATGAGGACCTTCCTAGACCAAAATGACTCATGCCATTATTTGGCTGGATAGTGTTTGTGAAGTTATAGCTAGGATTGATCACAAAAAGTATTCACGGAAAATACATTACCCTGTTAATTTCCCTTGATGCACAGGTTTTGTTTACCCTCCCATATCTCTCCCTCTGTTCCTGCTGCAGTCCGCCAGGAAGTCTTTTGCCTTGTTTGGCATCAGCGGGGTGCTGAAGTGTTCTCCGGGGGCCCTGAGGGAGCTTTTTCGACAGGACAACACAGTCTCTCTGCGTTTTACAGCTTCTCTACTGGGTGAGAAGTGGTGAATCGTACAGCATGGAATTAAGATGTGAAGGACGGACAAGCAAGAAGGACTACGAAGCACTGGGCTTTTATCTCTCACCTGTTCTGTTGTCTTGAAAGTAATCTCCACCGGGTCAGCCCGCAGTCGTGCTGGTGTTGCAGTCACATCGCTGCTTTTCTGCAAGGTCAGACTGACAACAACCAAGACGATAGATCTTATCACAACACCTGTGGTATCTTAGTAGTTTACAGAAGTAATCAATATTATATAATTATATTTAAAAATAGATTTAACAGAGTTAACCAGCTGTTTGCTGCTTTTCTTTCGTGTTAAAGACGTAATCAAAGTACACACTTGCCATCTGTGGATCAAACCCACACACACACATTACATTTACTGATGATGAACTGAGCAGATCTTTGGACCTTCATTAAGTACCGCGTACATAACTTATGTTCCTCTTTCATGACGGCTAGATTAAATCAAATGTGAAATTGTCTGGTAATTGCATAGTTTTAATTATTTAAACTACTTGTGTCTGACTGTCTAAACACTGTCTAAATATTCTCTGCTGACCAAGCTATAAGTAGCGTATAAAAGCTGCGCACCAATGCAATAATTACATTATTACGATACAATGATTGATGTGAATGTTTTAGAGAGCAACGAGTTGGTCCAGCACTCATCTATCTTGGATGTATATAAAGTCATCGATATTATGACAACCGCCGAGTGAAGCCAGTTACCCTCTGAGATCCTGCTTTGTGTACAGGGAGAGCAGCTTTACTCTCCCTGTATTGCGGTAAATACCTTTCTGCAGGTTAAAGGCACCGGGGTGTTAGTTCATAAAGTTCTTACCACCACAGTGTGTTTTTATGGAGCTGCTACTTATCTCCTCATTGGATCTCACCAGGTTATTACAGCGTGAAGTGTTATGCCATTTGAGCTCTCATCAAATTAGGGCAATGAGAGGATGTGGGGCAAAAATCTACGGCCATTATGACGGTAAAAGAGCCATTACGGTGCTTGTGGGATGGTCTGCTGAACGGAGTTTCACCATGTGCCGACGAGAGCATACTCCAATATAAGATATGCCTTTCATTTCATTTTTACACTTGCAGGGCAGTATTTACAGATGCAGTCATAGCAGTTGTAGCATTTCTCACACACTTGCTTCATGACGTTGTTTTTTTGCTGCAAAACTAACGCAGGATGCAGTAGATTTGTGTCTGTCACACAGGTTCCTTTAGGGTACAAACTGTACAGTGTGATTAATTAGACCTCAACCCTCAATAACAAGGATCTCCTTGTACTTTGTATCCTCTGTTTTTGTCAAGCTCCCGTTTCTTAACCTAGTTAATTCCTTTTTTTTCATATTATACCTTTGGCAGACCTCATAAAATCACAATGGGTTTGTGAAGTGTGCTCTTTAAATCCAGCGTGTCGTTTCTGTTCTGTCCCTAGGGATGCTTCACACCGCGGAGGACCAAGCCACTCTGGAGAAGGTTGACCAAGGTGAAGAGATGCCTCCTATTGGTTCAGATAATATGTGTGTGTGTGTGTGTGTGTGTGTGTGTGTGCGCGCCCATACACCCTGCTCACAGACTTTTTCAAGTGGTTGTTACAATGCAGACAGTCTGAGAGTGCAGACACACACACACACACACACACACACAGGCTATGAGTCACTCTTTATCTCAAAGGCACTTACACAAGAGCTGTCTTTGTGACGGTGATAATGATTTCTGCCGGGTACTAAGGTGATCTTACATTGACTTCACTCAGCAGTTTGTAAATGTAACGTTTTTGAAGGCTTTGATCTCATTTTATTGATATTCTCTCACTGCTACACTTTGCAGTATCTTTTCTCTTTGCATTGATTGATCAGTTGAGGCTGCTATATGCAGATTTTCTTTAGCGCCCAGTCGGATTTATCTCACTGCAGCAAAGTCTAACAAAATGCTTAAAAATTTGCTTAGTGCAAATGACGTTAGGAGATGTTATGGTAGCTTTCTCAAAACGCCTCAGAGACCACTTTGCTGTAATAGTTAAGTAGATTGCTTAAAATCGGACACTGGTTTTTGCTCTCTGCACAGAGAATTTGTGACGAACACATTGTGAAACTCATTTGAGCCCTATTAATAATGCAGTCATGATGTGTGTGTGTGTGTGTGTGTGTGTGTGTGTGTGTGTGTGTGTGTGTGTGTGTGTGTGTGTGTGAGGAGAAACCAGGAATCTTCCAGAACCTTTCTAACATCAGCTAAGCTGCAGTCATGTACATGTAAAGCAGCCAATGGGATGAGAGCTTTAGATCTGCACTGCATGCAATAAGAGAATGAAAAGATCACTCAAAATGTGCACATTTTAATTTTCTAAATGCAGTCGAGTGGGTTACTTGGACCTGGAAAAAAAAGTACATCATAGGTTATTTTTAATGGTCTTGACAATACTAATTAAATATTTCTGTAACAGATGGTAAAACAATGTCAAAGACTAAACTTCTACCGTTTGTTCTCTAGAAATCAACAACACAAGTTCTATATGTAACGCAAATTAACCTGATTTTTAATTTCTAACCTTTTTTTTTTGCCGGAAACGGATATATGTAAATGAAGACAAATATTTTAAACTGTAATGCCAAAGTTTAATGAATGTTTTCCAATTTGTGTTTGCGTGTGTCAGTGCTGGTTCAGCTGCTGTTGGAGCTCCAGAGCGAGCTGTCGTACCGCTTTGTTTTGGACGAGATACACAAACAGGTGGGACAAACGCATTTTTACAGACGTATAAAGAAACACACCTGCTCCTCGAACACTTGCCGGCACAGAACACACAGAACGAGATCATCAAATATTTAACGGCACTTGTGAAATCCACGACGTGTCCTCCAAGGGTCGTTTAGTAAACAGAACGGGCTCGCCTCCCTCTCGCTGCTGTGTCACCTCTGGAGGAGGCGGTGGAGGAAAAGCCTCATGATGATAGTAAAGCTGTGTGTACTGATGATGACAGAGCGCTACAACACCAGGCAGAGGTGCAGAAAAACAATGAATTACAGGGATTACTATGTAAGAGGATCTGGAGTATCAATTGTGGTGCTGCAGTACTTGTAGTTGAATTATTTTCACGCCTGCTGTGGTGCTAAAATAATACCGATACAAGACTTCTAGCTCAAGCGCTGTGAAGCTTTACATTGTGTGTATGCGCCCGTGCCATGTTCCTTTCTATTGTTGTGTATCTATTGTTGTTGATTTTTATTTTGTGCGTTCCCTGTACAGCTGAGGGACCAGCTCGGCGTGAAGGGCTTCCTGCCCACCTTCAACTTCTTGGGGAACCTCGTGAAAGCAGTCCCCAACGTGGCCCTCAGTCTGGTGACTCAGTATGGTGAGACACCTCACATCTCACAGTTACATATATATACTGGCACTGGTGTACAAACAGCAGTGTGTTGTCATTTTTAATGGTTATGAGTAGCACTCACAGTCAATAAAGATGCACCAAAAGCTGCTATTTTGAAACATAACATTGCTTTGTTGGAGGGCAGGACATAAACAGCTATTATACTGTTGTCAGCAGCTCATGGCATTCTGCCTAGTTTCCGTGATACTGGACAAAAGGGTGATGCATTTACGTACTTAGTTATTGAGAGATTGACATTTAGAGAGTTGCATAATCATTTGGGATCGGAACAGATAATGGGTCACTTTTAAAACTGCAAATGAGTTTGGATCGGGTCGGCTCTCGGATGGCTCGACGTGCTGTGGCGCCTGTTATGTCTATCTTCTCTGTGCCTTCTAAAATAATTGAATTCAAAAATAATGCGACACTGGGGCAAGTCACCTTGAAAGCTGAGATCTGGAAATATTTTCGACTTGAATGGAAGAGAAAGATGTGAAAGAATATTTAATTTGCAGCATCCCTTGTTCTCTCTGCACAGCGAGATCCACAATTCAATTTTGACCTTTTCAATTACATCCCTAATGCATAGAAATAGTTGTCACGTGTCTGCTTCTGAAATGTGCTTGGGGGGGGGAGAAAGTCACAAAACTGTATTTTTCATATCCTTTCCCCTGCACTCTCCCAATTCAATCTCTCTGGCCGCTGTGACCTTTTCCATTACGCTCCAGCTGCATTGAGACACCGTGCCGATGCCATGCCAAAAAAACGCTACAAAAGTTCCACATACATGTTCATCCAACCTTTCCCCTGAAATTGCCCATATATATGGATATCTTTATATATATGTAAAATCCTGCAGTGTAGTGAGTCGCCTGTATGATGTCTACTTCCTGAACCATTACTCTGTGTTTAATGAGCATCATTAATCAACCTCCAGCGTGTGTTGTTGTATGTTTATGTCATGCTCGAATGCCTGTTTTTTTTTCAGGCAAGAGTGAATGTGAGCCTCGTGCCAAATAAGCAGGCAGAGTAGTTATTTCACTCTGCAACATGTGTGTCCACCTTCATGTATTTTAATGACTTTTACAAGCTCCCCTGAACCACATGGGGTAGCGGTGGCTTGTTGTGAGGCGGACGCGACATGCGGGCTGCCACTATTGACTGTGTGTGTCTGTCTGTGGCCCGTCACTCAGTCAGTCTCTGTGGGGCTGTTTGCACTAATGACAACAGCACGGCAACGACAACACGGACCCAGAGAACCCGACACATTTCTGTCTCACTCTCTCTCTGACTCTGACTCCCTGTCCGCCTGCCAATCTAACTGATTAACCCGTTTGTTTTTTTCTCACCCCTTTGCTTTGCTCTGCTCCCTTCTCTTTATCCTCTCTCTCTCCCTCTTGCTCTCTCTCTCTCTCTCTCTCTCTCTCTCTCTCTCTCTCTCTCTCTCTCCCTCTCTCTCTCTCTCCCCCTCTCTCTCTCTCTCTCTCTCTCTCTCTCTCTCTCTCTCTCTCTCTCTCTCTCTCTCTCTCTCTCTGTGTTCCCCCCTCCCTCGCTCATCTCTGCGTTGCTGGTGTCTTGCTCCCTTAGGTCCTATCTGAGGAGTGGGTACAGACATGTGAGGGAGCAGGGCGGGAAGATGAAGCATTAATGAGATAAGGAAAGAGTAAGGTAGACAAAGATAACAAGGAAGAGGAGGGAGGGAAAGGACAACGGCTGCAGTGTTTCTTGCAGGTCGAGATCATCACAGCGCCAAAAATCCAACAGTGAAGTCGCTAATGACACGATATCTCTGATAAGACGACACATTAATGCACCGTTTTGGCAGATCAATCTGCACTTAACAGCTGGGTTTCTATGCAGACATTTGAAAGAAATACATAGAGGAAAATATGTTTGGCTTTGAGAGCATGTATTTGGATGGACCAAACCATTGCATTTTTCTTTTTGGGGAAAACACTGGAAGATGAAAGCCAAAAGCCACAGAAGGGCTCAGTGAAGCAGGCTGAAGCAACAAGTGCAAAACAATAGAGAAATACTGTAGGAAGCAGATCACAGGACGAACAGAGCGGCAGATCACAGCGTCACGGTGGCACGGCAACGGAAGTGAACCTTTTGTTTTATGTGCTCAACAAAGCAGAAGAAAGTGTTTTATCTTTTTTTGTTTCAGCTCTTTGTGCGTCTGTCTCTGTGGTTGCACGTGTGCGTCATCAAATAAAACAAGGCTTTTATTTTCCACCACTCCTAAATTGTGTTCGTGCACTTCCCTCCTCTGCTTGTGGAGGTCTTATCTCCCTCCTCCCCCCCCCTCTCCCTTCGTCGCTCTTTCCTCTCCTCATGCCTGGCTCTCATCTCGGCCCCCTCGTATATTTCGGTTTAATCAAACATGTCTGGGAGCCTGTCCTGCCTCACATGGGTTTTGATCTGCTGCACAGAGCGGCTGGGTTTGGGCTCAGCTCTCCTCCTCTGTCATCTTTGCGTCTCTCTTCTCCTCACGCTGCCTCTTTGTTCCTCCAGCGCTGCCCCGCACTTAACCATCGTTCACCCTCTGTTCTCAAAGACGCTCTCTTTCTTCTCTGAAGCCATTTCTGTCTGTCTGTGTCTGCCCGTCTTACATTTTCTCTTTTTTTTCTTATACATCCACAATAATAAAGTATGTAGTACAGCTGTCATGTAAATGCTCAAGGTTATCTTACTCACATTAAGATACCTGATTAACAGAGCTTGTACCAGCAACTTCATTCTCTTCTGTGATCATAGTGTGTCGCTTTAGGCCTTTGATTTAACGTCTTCTCTTACTGTGGGTCGGTCATTATCTGAACTGTATTTGGTGGATGTGGTCACTGAGCTATGATGGATGGATGGTTTTAGACAATCAGCCTGCAGTCCACGCTGTGTCCCAACGTCATTGTTTCAGTACACACACACACATTCAATATGTTATTTATAATACCGGTGCGGTGCCCGTTAGGGGGCGAGGCTGTTTGCAGCGTGTGTCCTTTCAGAGCGGGACGAATCCGATTGTTTGGACCCCGGGAGAGCTGCTTGCATCGAGAACCACACATCTCTCGTTGACACCGGGGAAGGGAAGAAGAGTTTGGTTGTAACGTTGTTGTGACATCCAGCTGCAAAAACAACAGTGATGTTAAAGAGACTAAGTCCATGTTATTTTATTCAAATACTGTAGATGCACACAAATACTACCTCAACATATTTTTTGTCACCTTGTATATGTGTCCTTCATTGTATCTCTCTCTATGTCTTGCTTCAGTCTCTCTCCATTCCCCTCTTTTTTCTGACTCTCTTGTGGATGCCCTCTCCCTCCCCACGTCTGTCTTATCCTCTCTCACCCTCTGGCTTTCTCTCACTCAGCCTTTTCTACCTCCACCAGCTGTTCTCATCTTCTCTCTTTTGCGCCACCACTCTCTCCACAAGTGTCTCTCTATGCTCTGTCTTTCTCTTTTCCCTTTCTTCAGATTCATGAATCATTCTCTCTCTTTGTCAGTGAGCCAACCTGTGAGTCTCCGAGAACAGACTCCTGTCCTGCTCCTACGTATTCTTTTTAATCTCCTTCTTCCGCCTGCCACTCTACCGTGCTCTCTCCTCACTAGCCGACAGTCGATCCTTTCATCTTCATGGCGGCTTTCCCTCCACGTTGGCTCCAGCATTGTCTGTCGCCGCTTAAGAGGTCGTTCAGTTGAAACTCACAAACAGACTTTGTTCCCAGAGGTTTGCTCCATTTCCACGCCGTCGTCTCGCTGCTCTCATTGTGTTGCTGTTAATCTCTGCTTCTCTCACGATATATTATCTTTAACTCTCCTCTGGGTGTCTTAGTCTCCTCCTCCCTTATCTGAAAGGGTAACTTTAGTATTTTTCTGACTAATGGGGACAACATTTGTTTAATATCGGTCCAGTATTGAGGGAGAACTCGGCAGCCTCTCAACAGCCTCTCTTATAATATAATCGCAATTTCTCCCCGTCAATGTGCTTGGACAACATCATGGAAAAGACTCTACAAGGAAATAACGTTTTTCTTTACGTTTCGCTTGATCAGGTCTGTTTTTGTGCCTCAACCGAAATCCGGCGGCCTCAACCGCTTTGTCGCAATCAGCTAAATATTCAACTGTGACACTGAAGATCTTTTAGATAACACTCAGCTACACAGCAAACACCTCCCGGCACTCCTCTCTCCAACTCTCACTCACGTTTGTCTTCCAGCGACGAAGTCACATCGTACGTGATTTCAGGACGAGACTTCTCCTTGAGCGAGACTTTGTGAGACACAATCGTAAACAGTCCGGATCAAGTGAAACCCAAGAAAAACGTTTATTAAACCCACTTTACTTGATTTGTTGCACTTATACACAAGATATCTTTTTGTTGTTGTTGCACCGACCCGGTTTTCTGTCTCCTCTTCTTTTATTCTGTGTGTCCTCGTCTGTCTCCCGTCTCTGTCCACCATGCAGGGCCCTTGCTGGAGCACCTGTGCTCGGCCCTACTGTACCCAGACGAAGCGCTGAAGGCTTCGGTGCTTTACGTGTGGCTCAAACTGTTCGGGACAGCCGGGGGCTCGGCGGCTCAGTCTTTGCCCGTTGCCATCAGGGACAGAGTGTGTGTCCTGTTGCTGCAGACCTTGGCCAAAGCCAGCTCCCCCCAACTCATCAAAAACTCTGTCGGTGAGAAAAAAGAAACATCTGTCCCTTATTTTATTCAGCTGTCTTGGGCAAAGCCGGGAAATATTCTACATAAAAAATATTCTTCTTGAACTGAAAGTTTTCGTGACGACTTACTTCTTTCAAACTGAGTGCATAAAAGCATACTTGAGAGCATCATTAGCTGCCTGGACCAAAAATGATTGACCTCATTTATTTTTCTTAAACGCCAGAAAGTCAGAGTGAGATTGAATTGCTTCCTGCTACAGGTTTGAAGTTGTTGAGATCAGTACAGCGTGCTTATCTTAGGCACGCATGAAAAATACAATCATCGAGCCGATATAAGGGGAGGCTGTTATCAAAAATAGATGGAAATTTGAACTGAGCACAACCGCAGCTAGTTCAGTGACAGAGTGAGTGAATGGCTATTGTGAAGTTGTTGTCATGTAGGAAACATAATCTCACTCCCAGCTGCCTGGGATAGACTTAGGACCGGGACTAATGGGTTTGGACTTAACACAGGAGTAAAAGGCTTTATAGCACGGGGGGCAGTTTAATGCAAAAAATAGCCTTTTAAACTGCTGTCTCATCATAATAGATCCCCACTAGTTAGTAAGGATTATTATTTTAGAAAAGCTAAAAGGCTATAAAATACCACTTTCATCATCATCTTTCTCAGTGAAGATCCAGAATCTACTTCGGGGTGAGGCGAGATGGAGAAAGAGGAGGGATTACACGGAGATGAAAGAGTGTTGCTATCTGTTAGGAATTTTCATTTTTTTTTAAGGGTAATAAGCTCTCCGGCGTGTGCATTGGGCGATAACCAGGATGGAGTTATTTAAAAGGAAAGTCGTTATTATCCTCTAGTTGTTTTATCGCTGTATTAACTTGGGAGAGAGGTACACGGTTGGGTTATTCTGGTTTTTAGAGTAGCTGCAGATTTTTGCTGTTGTTTGTGTAATTTTGAACAGATTTAATCATAATAGATTTACCCTCCCCAGCCCCGGTGAGAGCAGCAACATGGAGGAATTAAACAGGATTATTGTTTTTTTTAAATTTAGCGCTGTATTATCTACACAGCGTTCAAGACTTTTCAATGAAAAGAAAATGTGCTTTTTGTGATCTCTTGGGTTTTTATTCTAGTACTTTGTCCCCAAAGTGGCTGGAAAGGAAAATAAAATCCATGCAGCTGAGCAACACTTAATTGCTAATTATATAACTGTTTATTGCATTGTGTGTTTGAGTTCTGATGTGTGCACAGTATGAATTTATTCTAACATCCTTTTGTGTGGATCCTGTTCCCACGGTTGGCTTTCATCATCGCACCAGTGATGCTTGTCATCATGAGCGTCTCTAAGCCTTGTCATCTGTATTGTGTCTTTCCTCTGCTAGGCCTGCTGTGGTTGCTGGTGCAGCTGCCAGAGGCAGTGTCAGTTCTGATGAACGGCAATACCGATCAGACGGTGTGCCGTGAGAACCAGAACATCCACACTGAAGACGAGCAGATCCTCGGCCAAAACCAAGAGCAACAGTCCCCCGACCAGTACCCTCTGCCTCTCATGCTGAAAAAGGTCTCTGTCCAAACATCCTGCTCCCGCCCCCACGACCCACATACTGACACCGACCACAATCATAACAAGAAGTTCTAATCCTGGATTAATGGGCCTTTGAATCGGGCTTCAGGGAGGGTTTACCCTGGACAAATATTTGTGCTTCATGTCTGGGAAATCAATGTGCAGATTACATCTAGTTAGATTCTCTCAGTTAAGACTCACATTACACCGCAGATCGCGACGTTAGCATTTTGTTGTAGAAGCATTGTGTGTTGAGTTGTTATAAAAATGTATCTATTAACTAAATAATCACCCAAATCTAAATTATCCCCAAAAACATAATTATTTTGTTGCTTTTAGGATCCATTCTACCAAATGCATGCACTGTTTTAAATCATACACAACTTATTACAAGTATTGTTGCAAAGACAAACAACAGCAACAGTGCTACACAAAAACTGAACAAGAAAAATAAATCATGCACCCTTTCTCAGCCGGGTCCCGAGCCAATAAGATCATCTACTTATCTTGGATTTTCCATCGGATTGTTTCGTTGCTGTTATTGGTAGTAAATGATGTCATACACCAAGTCTGTCTCAGGTTTTATGGAAAGTGTTTATAAGTAACTAATTCATCCATATTTATTCCAGGGGGCACTTTTGCCTCAGTTTTAATGTTTAAATTATAATACTGATATTTTTGCCTCACCCAATGCTGACCTGGCATTTTTAAAGGAGTTTATAGATCAGAAATGATGTAAATCTGACAAATGTAGAAAAACATGATCATTCTGATAAGAGTTCATTTCCAAGTTGCCATGTAGGGTCATGGTCCTGATGTTTGACTTTGATAGATTCATGAACTAGAATGAGCTCAACTAAGAGTGTAGACGGTGTACTGTAGATGAGTCTCAGACAGCTGTGTATCATCAGCAGCCTGGGAATGTTGAAGAAGCTATAATGTGTGTTGGTACAATAAAGAAGCTCTCCACACTGTTTTCAATGATAAGTGGATTCTTATAAAGCCCATAAAACGTTTTTTTTTTCCAGTTGCTGATGAGTGGCGATGAGATGTTGCAGGTGATCAGTGCGAGGTGTATCGCATCCGTCCTGGTTCATTCCCAGTGCAGCGCTCCCTTCATCAAGGCTGACATACCTGGTGATACAAAAACACACACACCTTCACCCTCAGCACTGTAGGAGGTTTATTTTAGTGAATAGTGTTGCAGCATTGTGTCACTTAGCCCCTCACACATGTTCTCTTTTCCCTCTCAGCGTTTCTGTTCGACCGTCTGGCCAGTAGTCGTAGTGAGGTGCTGCTGTGGTCCGCCTACAGCTGTTTGGTGCTACTGACTGAGGACCCGCTCTTCTTCTCCCAGTGTCACTCGGTCTACGGTAAGAGAACTTGGACAGCTTGCAGAACTTCTTAACCACAGTATTGCGGAATCTCTACGTGAAAGAGCCCATTGTAGAACTTCAACGTTGGGTTTCGTGGTGTATCGGTTAACACCTAAAAATGATGGAAACATAGTTAATGTGCCAGCTTATACACAGAAGTCTGAACCATGAATAATTCAACAACAACTGTAATGATGGAAGATAACCGCGAGCGTAAACAGACCACGTACATATCAGCGATGCGCTCCAGATCAGACTGGAGACATAACCACTTAAAAGATGGAGTAGTATTTTAAAACAGAAAACACACGTTTATTATTGTGATATTTACTCGTAATGATTCACAATGAAGCCAACAGCTAGTAGGAGACTTTCAGGCGATCTCCCTCCAGCCAGCCACCACTTTATTTAGGTTTTAGTGAAGATGACCCCCCCAGTTCAACTCCACGAATCAGCCGTTCCTTCCATTGTGGGCTCTCACGGAGAGAATAAATAGAAACTGGGCATCCAACAAAAGTTCAGCTCAAAACAGCTAAAAATAGTTGGCAGCTATGTGTTTTTTTCAGAACAAGTATCTAAATTCCAGTTTTGTCCAACTCTGAAAGCCCTGGTGTGTGTTTTCTAAATCTTCTATCTAGTGTGTGCCATCACAGTAGGTGATGAGAAATAGTTTGAATACAATAGAAACTTGATTTACCAGAACACAGGATATCTGATGCTATTAAGTTCCTGTCTCAGCATGAACAAGAGATCATTGCAGCAGATTCTGTGTAGCCATAAATTAGAAAGATGTACCACTGCCATTGTTTGATTCTTTGTATGTTGGTGTGTGATGATGCTTTGCACATGTGTTACATTTATGAGCCCGTCACTCTAATTGTAATGCAGGAAACCCTTGTGTGAGGATGAGACGGATGTGTCTCTGTCGGCCAGGTCAAGTGTGTCTTCGTCACAATGAGTTTGTGTGTTAGGTGTCGAGTCCCTTGTGCGCAGTCTGAACGAGGCTCTGCAGCTGACCAACCTGGAAGTGCCGAAGCAAGGTCTGCTGCTCCTTACTGAGATACTGGAAAGGTGAGACTGCCCGTTTTATATACATATACATATATATATATATTAAAACATCTGCTACTGAGACCTCTGCCGCACTGATAAGGATTGAAAACTTACATCAGAAACCTTGTCCTGGTTACTCGGGATGATCCACAGACCTCACAGTAAATAGCTTACAGTGGGAATTATTTGAACTGAAGAAGCACTTTGTAGTTTATTCCTGTATCATCACTTAATACCAGTGATTCTTAACCATGGGGCCGCGGCCCACAATTGGGCCGCAAGCGCCACCTAGAGGGCCGCAAAAAACTTTCAGTTTTGCACCTGTGGGCCGCGGGACCGCATAGGTTATCAATTGAAGACACCAGAGATATTACTGTTATCCATGAGACGCTCAGTTACAGTATAGCTTCCCACCACCTGGTGGCAGTAATGCATCAGTCAGTTGTTTAACAAGCTCCAATATGCAGAAGAAGACACTCAGCTAGCCACTAGCCCAGGGGTCGGCAACCTGCGGCTCTTCAGCCTCTCTGTTGCAGCTCCCTGAGTCTACATCAGGGGTCCCCAACTGGCGGACCGGATCCGGACCCAGGCCCTAAATCCGATTGATAATTCGGAATTATACATATTAGGCACTGAGTTCATACTTTAACCGGCGCCTCTTATTCAGCCGTTACGGCACATGTTCGGCGGTGCAGGAAACACACCGACCAATGCGTTGTAAATCATATCAGGTGATGCAGCTCGGCCAATCAAACATGAGTATTCTGACAAGTTTCCTGACTCGAGCGAGGTTTAGACACACCGTGACACACGGGGGAGAGACGGGGAAATAGAAAGAAGAGCAGGGAAATTGCGCCGATCGAAGAAGATATGTTCTCCAAAAAGAGAAATGTGCTCAGAGAGAATATAATTTATAAGCAAGAATGAACCGAATATGTTAATTATTCCCACAGGCAGTTAAATCCTCTACCTCTGTCAAGCGTTTTTCCCCCGTGAACGCGAATGGCTCATGATTTTCAGACCCACGCCCTCAGTAAACTATCAATGGATAAATCCAAAAAAGAAAAGTCACGGAGGAAAATAGAGTTTGACTCTGTGTGGACGTCTTCATTTGCTTTCACTGCCAACGATGCTGACTTACTGTGTGCTTCCAGAACAAGCACACAGCATGTGCTGAAAAGCTGGAGATGAGCAAAAAAGAGCGATTCCTCAGCTGCTGCAGAAAACTCTCCACTTCATAAGAGTTTGATATTGTTATAACAGGTAAAATTGCAAAAAAATGTCAAGAATTGTCTTTATTCTTGTTCTATATTTTCATAAATACAACAAACTATAGTTTTTGTAATTATAATATAACACTTTATAAGCTGTGATATCAAATAGCTTTTGCGGCTCCAGACACATTTTATTTGGTTTTATTTGAAGCCTTCAAAAATAAAGTGACACTTAGCGACGACGAAACATCCAACGCTCGTGGGAAAGCCTGTTGGGCTTCTTGTTGTGTATGCAGGTTTACATACACATGATAAATCAATGTCTTTGTGATCATCACATTGTATCATCTCATTTATTTGACAAGGGTTTTGCTTGTTAAACTGTAAGTGGATTTAATATAGTTATTGAATACAAATCAAACCAAGAGTGACATCAATTAGTTAAACTAATACAGTGTTAATATTTCAATGGGCCCCGGGACACTTTGTGCTTGAAAAGTTGGGCCCCGAGGTCAAAAAGGTTAAGAACCCCTGCTTTATACCATAGCAGCCCACTAAACTCTAAAGAAAGATGTATTAATTTGACATAATTATAAAACAATGAGATGGAGTCTGATTGCCTGGAATCTATTTCACTTTGTAAAACTTGCCAGTTGATCATATTTTGTAATATAATTACATTCTGATTCTGATGTATGTCATTCCTCTTCTTTCTATTTTCCATTTTGTGGCATTTGAGGAATTTTTACTTCATAACTGCAGTTACAATGAAGCTAGTAGTTTTGAAGCTTTTGCACCAAAACAACACAACTTTACAAATGATGTTCTACAGCGCCGCACGTTTGTTCATAAACTGAACAACTTTAGCTGCATCAACGCAGAGCAGCGACCTCCTGCAAAACGTGTTAAATATGGTGCACTGGAAAGTTTAATTATATTTGAATTAAGTGTCTGCTTGCTCACAGATGAAAATATATCACGAGCCAGTAAAAAACGCTGTCATATTTCTGCAAGGTTGACACAATTTTAATTGAATGTTCGCCTCGTCACATGGCAATGATACAGAGGATAAGAGACTTCAAATGGCAAGGGAAATTTGTCCTTTACGCTGAGAGGAACAGTAAAACAAGAAGCCAGACCAGAGCGCTTAAAAGCTGAACATGCTAAAGTGTGTGTGTGTGTGTGTGTGTGTGTGTGTGTGTGTGTGTGTGTGTGTCTGTGTGAGAGAGAGAGAGAGAGTGAGAGTGAGGGCCATGTGCGTGTGTGTGTGTGAGAGCTTCGTTTGTAGCTGTTTTTGTGTCTGTCTGCATCTATCGATAAGTGTGTGTGTGTGTGTGTGTATGTTTGTGTGCGCCTTTATGTGCATTGATGTGTTATTTAGGATGTTCTGTGTGACTGCTGTTGTGGCAACAGGGAGCCGGTCACACAGCTGGCGTGGTGCTCCGTCATAGACCACAGACATACTCTGGTGATCTTTGTAACGCCTATAGGTCAGCGCTATTTGTTTATTATGTGTCCCTGCCCTGAAAGAGAGAAAACACGTGTCTGTGTGTACGGTGGTGAGACGGAGGGAGGGCGAGTTCACTGCGACAGTCACTGCTGTTATTGGCACAGCGAGCCTATAGAATGACGGATAGATCAGGCTGGAGAACAGACTGTCATATGTTTGATGGGCCCAAATGTCAAAAATAAGCATAACACTATGAAAGGCCGCTGAAAAGTCTCACTGACTCCTTTAGGATCCACACAGTTTCATATCATTGGGTAGTTGCCTCGATTAATTGATTATTTGCTTACAACAGTGATTCCTGTAGAATTTATCGTAGATGCTTGCGCTGCATGATATTGGAAAAAGCTGACATTGTAATATTTTTATTTTTTTCACACACCAAGCGGTTACTCGGTTCATTATGAAGCTGTGGCGGGCCTACTGAGACGATGGGTAATTACCTGGAAACACTGGGTCAGTCACAAAAAAGGAGAACCGTGCAACTTTTATAAAACAGCAAAAAATGTTATAGAATGACATGTTTGAGTTATTGTGTCCTGCCATGTAACTGTTGCACATGTGCATTTATTGCAATGTCGCTGGTGAAACAACACATCGTGCAGCCCTAATAGAGGGCCATGTCCCCGTGTAGTCCAGGAAACTGTCCCTCTAGCTTCAAGGCTACATTTAATAATGGCACTTATTCCTCTGTGAACAGGCAGCCCCCGAGCGAGCGCCTCTTCCCCAGTGGTTCAGGTTTCGAGGCGGTTTCGGAGGCTGTGTTGGGTGGAGTCTCCTCCTCCTGCCTGCTGGTAGCCACACAGGCTGCCAACGCCGCATCAGCCCTGTTCAGGTAGACACGAACACAGTCACACTGTCGAGGACTCTTCGTCTTGAGATTGACAAAGTTATGGTTGTTTGTCAGTAAAAAATTGTCCTGCCAGACATTTTCTATATTGGACTTACAAAAGTCGGTTACTCACACAGTCACTTACTGAGTCAACGGATGAACACGCACACACGGTACACACACACGTGTACGCACGTGCACCCACACAATGCCACAGGGAAATAGTAAATACACATTCAGAGACGTGAAGGTTTACTCGTAGTTATATATTGATGTAGGTGTTTTGTAAGCTTTGCCCATGCCATGAGTTACAGACACACTTACCCAGAGATTCACATTATGTCCCTCTCCTCCACAGACTGTATCTTCCCTTCACCACCCCCCACCTGCTTAAAACTCCGTGGTATAAACTGCTGTCACTCTGAATTCTCTAGACTGAACCACCAGTCCAGACCAGTCCAGTACGGGAAGATAGAGGGGTTGATCGAGGCCATCACTAACAGATTCTCAGAGCTGCCCCTACCCTCTCCTGCTCATCGTCGGAGCTCTGTGAGTTAGTTTTTCGTCACGTCTTTGTATCAAATAAGCATAAACAATTCAAGAACTGGTAGTGAAGAGAAGTGTCTGTGCCGTCTGTCTGAGACTTTGTCTTGTGGTGATTCTCCAGAGAGTATTTTTTTGGTGGTTATCACAACTGACACATGAGCGTTTGATGCTATCTAGCAACCTGTCACACAGTACATCTGTGATTGAGAGGTTATATCAAGAGGAATTTACTTCTTCCGTGAAACTCTGAATGTCCTTTTCTGTTGTTTTTTCTTCTTCTTCATAGCTGTTACTCATTGCAGCTTTCTGTCTCAGACTGGATCATTACGCGTGTAACAGACAGTGACGCAACTGTCAGCAAGATATGCCTGGTTGGCATGTGATCATGTCCCAAATTAAAAGAATAAATGTATTAATTAATGTGTGTAATTAGGGACGCCTATCAATCTTTTTTTAAACGGAGAGCAGAGTTTGTGGCAGGACGGGACTCAAATCAGAGACGGTTCAGAGCATCGTGTAAATATTTCAAATTGAAAAACACAAGCAGTCCAACAGGCACTTGTAATGTCTACAGTGTAAGCATGGTAGCATAGCAGAGCTGCAGAGCTGCGTTCAATGCTGTAAGGAGGGCTTCCAGGGAAATGTCAGAGGCACAGCCTGTGAAAAAGGCACCATGTCAACACACAGCAAGCAGCAGCCTTGGCAGAGTTTTTAATGAGATCTTAGAGGAGATAGAGGCCGGGGTCTGTGAGCACCTCATCAGTGGTTGTTCAGAAACAAACCATCCCACGGTCAGACAGTCCACTACAGCAGTGGTTCTCAACTGGTCTGGCTGCGGGACCCACCATCACCCCTTAATGACAAGCCGGGACCCACGACCCAAATTATATATATAATTTGGGTCTATATTCAAGAGGTCTAGTAGCAGTAACGTCTCTGTGTAGTAAACAACTGTCAAATCAAATAAAGAAAGTACACATCAATTATATTTTAACAAATATTATTCTCATTTTTCAAATTTAACTGGATGGATTATAAATAATACATAGAAATACATGAATAAATGTTCTTTTCATTTCAAGTAAAATAATGGCTGGATTAAAAAATAAATTATGTAACAAAATTCATTTTAGAAAAAATATTTTCATTGAATTGATCTGCAGCTTTAAATTCAGTTCATTCAGGATGAAGTGAAAAAGCCACACTATTATATTTACTCATCTTCTAAAAAGAGAATTTAGTGTTGGAAGAATTCACCTCTATGAGTCTGTCCAGTCAGAGTCTAATGACTCTGGTCTTTCTGGACATTTTTCTCTTTTGGAAATCATCCTGCGATTTGACTTTCACAAGTCAATAGTCCTGCTCTGCTGTCTCTATCCTCGTCTCTCCCTCTTGTGTCACGGTGTGTGAACATCTCACCGAGTCAGGAAACTTGTCAGAATACCCATATTTGATTGGATGAGCTGCATCACGTGATGTGATTCACAACGCATTGGTCGGTGTTTTTCCTGCACCGCTGAACAAGTGCCGTAAATGCTGGAATAATTCCGCTGCATAAAAAATGCCCTTCAAAATAAAATCACTTTTTTTTTTTTTTTTTTTGGGTCGCGACCCACCAGTTGAGAATCACTGCACTACAGTACTCGAGGGCAAGTGCTGCACAATTCCCCTCACTGGTTGCTGCTGCAGCCGAGTCTCTCCGTGCCCCTGCACAAGTGTGGACAGCCTGAGACTCTTTGGTGCCGTCTCAAACGTCCTTGATGAGAAGGGGAACTTGGCAGAGATGATGATTTTCTCTTAAAACGAACCTCGGCGGGAGTAAGAGTAGAGTGGAATGAGAGAGAGAGAAAAGCTCCAATAAAAGCACTTTAAGAACAAAAGAGAGCCTTGAGATTTAGTTATTTTGAGATTTAGTGTTCAAGTTAAGCTGCGACGCCACTTTTAAGTGTCGTTGAGAGTTCTGTTTATTTTTAGTAGTTTTACGATAATGCTGCGTTAAAGCGTAATTGTGATATTTATTTGTTGTGACTGTGAATGTTAAAGCTGAGCTATTGCACCACAACAAAGTGGAATTGAGATTGTATTACTCATTTTGAGTGTTCTAGTTTTAGATCAAGGCTGCACTGAGTGGAATTGTCGAGAGCCATTTAAAAATAGTTTGGCTTCCTTCATTTCATGAAGAAAGCATAAAGGAGCAGCCTGGATGCAGTCATTGTTTTTCCAATGCATTGCAGAGCTACTCATTTCTCAAGCATATACATTAGACTGATTTAAATAATTTGAATGTACTTGAATTGTGCAACTGTATTATCTATTAAAATAGAAGTATCAGATCGGTAGATTACATTACTCGGATCGGGACATCCGTAGGAGGAAGGATTTCAAAGTCTGCTTTAATGGAAAAGTTTTATTGTTTTAAATACTAACTTAAGTGATTCCCATGAGGAAATATGTTGTGATCTGACATGATTTGATCAAATTTGCTCCACATCTCCTCTCGTCTCTCATCCTGTGTCTTCTTGTTTCTCCCCATCTTCCTCTTGTATCCTCCAGAGGAGTCTGAAGAAGTCAGACCCTAACAGCCAGGCTTCCAGGTCCGAGGGGTTTCTGCTCCAGTCCCTGGTCTGTTTTCAGGCTGCCTGCAGGTCAGCACAGTGTCCAGTCACATGTTCACAGAGCTCAATGGCATCACTGGAACAGTGAGAGTGAATACACTTGTTTAAACACTTGAGTATTGTATTGAATCAAGTGCTACTTTATCATATGTCAGATGTGAATATTGTTGAATATGTGTGTGACTCATGTAAATTAATATGTTCAGCCAACCCGCAGAGTGTTTTAGTTGAAATGCAGATGAGGGAATTTACCAGTGCGTTGCTATTTTTGTATGTATGTGAGTGGCTGTGTTGGTGTTAATGTGTGTGTGTGTGTGTGTCCAAGGTTGGCCGTGGAGTGTTCATCAGAGCCCGTTCTGAAGGAGAACACGTTCACAGCTCCATCGAAACACAGCCATGCTCAGGACTCACTGGAGTCTCTTTGTCAATGTCTGCTGCGCTGCTGCGACTCCGTCTGGATACCCACCATCATTGTGAGATCTGAAAGCACGCACACACACACACACACATCGGATTCACTATCCTCTCATCTTAACTTTATATCTCTCTCACACACGCACACTTGATCTTGCAATTTGCCACATCTCTTTTGTGAGAAATAGATGACAATGATTACATCGCTCTGTCTGGCTTCTCTAAATACCTCTGTTAATAAGCGCAGCCTCACAGCCTCTGTCTTCATTAGTTTTGTGCACAAATGGACATTTGAGCCGATCGATCAGTACCTCTTGTTCTGTTGTGCAAAGTAATTGTTTTATTATGTTGTATTTTTCTAAAGTTAGTTCTATTCGGGCTAAAAAATCGATCAGACAAGAAGAAATTGTTCACAGTTTGTGTTTAGGTCATTTGTCTCTGATTTCCTGTTTCTATATGTGTGTGAGTGTGTGTGTGTGTGTGTGTGTGTGTGTAGAGGGTGTGTGAGCATACACCCAACGCTCAGATACTGCAGCACTTCTACTCCATCCTATTCTCCCAGTTCACCCTGCTTCCGTCCTTCATGCCCGTCTTTGCAAATAAGCTCGGTGAGTCGCTGAACGCTGTAACCTTAAGTGAACATCACACAAGGTGTCCCGTGATCTGATCTGTGTCACACGTTCTGTCTTTACATGGCCGCACACTGGCATGTTGCCAGGATGGGTGTGGCAATCCTGATGCTCTACCATCTTATGATTATTCTGCCTAAAATGGTCGGCTTTGACTAATGCAGTAACAGACAAATCTACTCTCCGTTATCTGTAAGTTCAGACTGACGATCCCTGTAATATCATATCGACTGCATGTGAGAAAGAAGATATGAACTCGTTGCTGACGAGCTACAACAGAAAAAGTCATGAAATGTGAAGATAAAGTTCTGCTAAACTGATTCTAAAGATTTATGACATGAGGAACTGAGATGTACAGGGTGAGCTCACAGCTCATGTTTTAAATTAGCCCTGCCTTTTATGTCTCGTTGCTGCCAGCTTCGCACATTCGCAGATTTGTTAATTAAGTACCTTGCTTATGGTGCATTTATTTAAATGCATTTAGTGTCTAACTTAACTAAATGAGCTGTAGCAATATATACTATTAATCTCAGTTCCCAGCTAATCATACAAACAGCAAAAAATAAATGAGCTTTTTTTAAATTTCATTAACACATAACAGAGTTAGTTCTCCTCTGATGGTAATGTTCACTAAACTAAAATCAGTGTTTTGTTATTTTGTATTTTTGTCAGTATAGGGCTTGACCAAATAGTTTGAAGCGTCATAGCAGCATTCATAACGTGGAGATTCAAATTGAGTCAAAATTGTTTTAAAATGATCGATGTGAACATGTTTTTATCCAACAAAATATTCAGCCTCGATCCATATCTGTTGGTTCTTAGCTTTTCAAAAACAACGCCCACAAAGCGGTTTGCTCTCCCGCTTGCTGCACACAAAGAGAGGCACCAAGCATGACATTAATACAACCAAAGTAACAAGAAGTCTATTTATTCTTATTAATAGCAGGGGGGGGGCATTTGAAGCTTCAGTTGAAAACCTTAATAGCAGCTTTTATTGTTAAAGCCCAACTAACAGTTGATTCTGCTCTCGTCAAAGATGGGACTAACTGCCCGGCTGTTGACTTATTGGACTTTTATATCACTGAGGGGGGAAACGGAGCAATCTGTCCAAAGCTGGCAGTCAACACGATGAGCCTCGATTATTGACAGGAAACGCGTCGCCTCGGGCATCATTTCAAGCCAGTGCGGGGGCATTAAACAGAAATCTGAGCTTTATATTTACGCTGAGAGCGGTTAACAAAGCAGAACGGAAGTTTTCTGCTGATGTGGCGGAGCAGTACCCTGGCACAGGTCCACCAGAGAGGGAGTTGGGCGCTTCATGAAATATAAAATTCCCTCTGATAAGTGAGAGGTACTCTCTCTCGCTCTCTCTCTCACTGCACCACTGACACGGCCGAGACATTAAGTACAGCTTTACAATACAGCTTTTTTTTTTTCCTCCATAGAATTAAAATAGGACTGATGTCTCATTACCTCCAATGTGGCCAAATGAGCCCCCCCCCCCCTGATCCCTCAGAGTATTTTAATAACATCGTGTGTGTGGGGGTGTAGCTTACAAACCAATGTTGGATTAAAATGTGAAGGTTTGGGGATCATCATGTGGCGGATTTCTGGCACAATATTGACAGCCGTCTCTGTACTGCACGACTTTTGTTTTAAAAAGAGTTGTATTAATAGTGATTTTATTACCATCCCTTCTTACTGTCTCCTCCTTTGTTCCGCTCTTCACCTCCTCTTCCCTCCAGCGTCCTCTGGTTTCTACAGGCTGCCTCTGGAACACAAAGGGCTCCTCTGTGCGGGGAACAGGTAAAGTGTAACAGGATAACCCGAAGACACACTCACACAGCTACACACCAATTAAAAAGTGTAGCTGTGTGTGTGTGTGCGTGTTGAACCGTGGTGGCTTTTAAAGTTGAGTTCTTATTGTCATTCCCTGTTGGTGCACATTGAACTACAGACAGATAATTCCACTGAGGCATCCCTCATTTTTGAGTCACTCCATCTACCAGCAGTGTGTCGGTCTCAGAGCAACAGATCTGCAGCTTCAAAGCCTGCTCTGTGTGTGTGTGTGTGTGTGTGTGTGTGTGTGTGTGTGTGTGTGTGTGCGCGTGTGTGTGAGTGTGTGTGTGTGAGAGTGTGAGTGTGTGAGTGTGTGTGTTTAGATTGCGTATGTAAGCATATGTGCTTTTGTGGGCGTCAGTGTGGTCATCAACACGGTCGACTCTCTCGGCTCGAGGCCCCCCTGCTCTGAGCTGTAATGAAACTGAACCGTGCCGCGTTTCTGTTTCATATTTGAAAAGAGTGCGTGAAGGCGCATCCTGTGTCTCACTGTTCTCTCCTCACGGGTTTGACGTGTGGAGGATCGGTGCTCAGTTTGTCTCAGGTGTCCTCACTCTTCCCTTATTGCTGCCGTTTTCCTGCTCTCTCTCTCTTTGTTTTTCTACGTATTTTAGTGTCTTTTCTCTGATTGTGTATTTCTCCCTCTTTCCAATTCTTTCAGGCACCCATACCTGAATATATCCTGCTGTGAGTTTCTACAGAAACTCAGTATGTGTCTGCTTTTTCAGTCAGACCCTGGCTCCTGTCAGCATGGTATGGAAACACACACACGCACACTCACACACACACTCACAGAGCTACATGAAGTGCCATTTAAACTCCTGTAAAAACCTGACTGACCGGTTGAAATGGATGATATAATTGTTATTCAGAGTTACTACAAGAATGTTTCAACTGGTTATGAAACAGACCTACAGAAGCAGGTGATGGTATATTTTTCTTAATGCCTCTCATCGGGTCAGATTCTCCGACATCAGACGAAAAGATGTACGGCATGCAGCTTCTGCTACGCAGGGCAGACCGTCAGAAAATGAAAGGTTTTCCAAAGGGAGTCCCCCATCTTTACCAGATTCTTCATTATTGCCACTCAACGGAGTTGTTGGTAATTATTTTGGTGTGACAGTCTGAACTCCCGTACCAGACAGCGAGCGATGATGTCGGGATGCTGTTTACGACACAAAGCGACGGCGCTGATGGAAGCGCTGCCACTTTGGAGATTTGTGTGTTGAAATAGGTTCCCAGCTGACTTTAAAGTTATTTGTTTCCAGAATTTGTCACCTGGCTTTAATAAATGCATCAAAGTGATATTCAAGAGACTAAATCAAGCTGACTGCATGGCATTTATTTAATAAAGCAAACAAAATTGAGTTTATGGAGAAAAATCGTTTTTATCATTTTGTTAACTTACAAAATGATATCACACTAAAAAAGTAGATAAAGTTACATTCCAGTTTAACTTCAGTCTCGCTCTCCCTCCCTCTCTCCCTCCCTCTGTCTCTCCCTCCCTCTCTCCCTCCCTCTGTCTCTCCCTCTCTCTCTCTCCCTCTCTTTCTCTCTCCCTCTCTCTCCCTCTCTCTCTCTTTCACTCTCCCTCGCTCTCCCTCTCTCACTCCCTCTCTCCCTCTCTTGCTCTCCCTCTCTCTCTCTCTTTCACTCCCTCTCTTGCTCTCCCTCTCTCTTTCACTCTCTCTTGCTCTCCCTCTCTTGCTCTCCCTCTCTCTCTCTCTTTCACTCCCTCTCTCCCTCTCTTGCTCTCCCTCTCTCTCTCTCCCTCTCTCTCTCTCTCCCTCTCTCACTCCCTCTATCTCTTTCACTCCCTCTCTCTCTCCCTCCCTCTCTCTCGCTCCCTTTCTTTCTCTCTCTCTTTATGATGACTTTAAACATCAATAGCAGTAAACAAGTTGCTCATCCCTAATGAAGATGCCTGTTCTCTTAAATGAAGTCTTTAATAATTCATAATTTAATCAAAGCTTACACATTGAAGGACATTTTAGAGACGTGTTGTCAAAGGCACTGAAGATCAGCTCCAGCTAGAATTAAAGGAAGAACCCAGATGTGTTTCCTGTAAACATGTTGAAAGTGTGAAGTGCATTGAACACTCTTTGCTTGCCGGTTCTTCGTTGCTGTGAGAAACAGCTGATGATTAGTCTCTTGAAGGCCAATACCGTTTGTGACAACACGGATAACACCTCCGACTAAAGGGGCATTGCCTCTGATTGTGTTAGGCTGAAGTAAACAATGTTAAGGAAAGGTAACTTCAGGTAAGTGAAGCTGTAAGCGTGGAAAAACAAACGCTAAACTCCGCTGCCGTTTCCCTTCTAATCCCTTTTTACCGTGGCATCCCCCAAAATGAAATATAGGACGTGTTTTATTGGAAACTGCCGTTGTTCCCTGGAGACATGATGTGACATTGAGACCTGAGTCGAGTCACATATTTCTTTGAGGTAATGAGATGTAAGAGTTGTTTGAGCAAGTGCAAAGGTGTGTGTGTGTGTGTGTGTGTGTGTGTGTGTGTGTGTGTGTGTGTG